TTTTTTTACGAACATTCTATTGATCGGTAGACGGTTAAGTATTTCTCGAGAAAAATTCGTGGTCTCTCTGTGAAAATAAAACGGGTTATCCATTGAAAATAATACGAAATCTTGTTTGTGTGGGTGTGTTTTCTTTTCTTTTAAACAGATAACTGTGTCGATGATAAAGTGCTCTTTATTAATAATAAAATAGAATAAATATAATACGTTGTCACGTGGATAAAAATCATAGACGCTGGCGGAATTACAAAACGAAAACTGAACATTGCCTGCCTTTTTTCTTTCTTTTACGCTGTGTAGTGCCTAAATCGTGTTACAGTGCGTGTAATGTTGCATTGCACACCGTTAAAAAAAAGGTATGCTCGTCTTTTCTTTTCCTTCCCTTTCTTTGCAAATCGCTCCTCGATTAAGTAATTCGTTCGTTTGAAAAATTAAAGAACGACTACGCAACGTTATTACCGTTTGACGATCGTGACAAACGTTCAACCCTCCAGCCTTGGACGAAAACGCAGCTTCTTTACTCGTTCCGTTAACATTTCTGACGATTCCTGGTAACTTACTGTGATACGAGATTTTCGACGACGTGGGAATTTTAATTCTTGGTGATTGATTACGTCACCGCGGCATCGTGAGATTTTTGGACAGTTTGTAATTGGCGACGTTACCGTAACGTTCGCGAGATTTCCAATTATTTATGATCGGCGGCGATTAAAAATTTTAATTGTCAGTGGACTGCGATGTCGGCGAGATTTTCAATTATTTAAGACTGGTGACGTTACTGTAGCATTGTGAGGAATTTTAATTATTAGTGATTGATGATGTTACTGTAACGTCACGAAATAAGTGAGAGACTTTCAATTGTTAGTGACTGGTAACGTTGCAATACTATTGTGAGATTTTTAACAGGTGATAATCGGGCCACGTATTTTTTACATTCTGTAAATTCGCCGACATCGCAGTGAAAGTTACTGTAAGAAACATCCAATCGTAACAGCGCCACGTTACTATCACTTGAATTTTCCAATCTGCAACCATGATCCTCATATAGAAACACTTTTGCTTCTACCGAAATATTGCGTTTTCATCAATTTTCCAAGAAAAAAAAAAAAAGAAAAACGATTTAGCAACCTCAGTAACAACCACGATATGGCAATCAACGTGCGTGTCGATGAACAAATACAACATTCCCTTTCTCTTTCTCTGCGTCCGCTTTCTATGAAATTGTTTTCCAGAAAAGAAAAATACCAAAAAATGGTGGCTGAAGGGTTAACAGACGAAAAAAAGAAAACAAAAATAAAATACTGATTCATTATCGTTCCACTATTGTTCGTAAGCTCTGCTCGTTTCAAACGCCAATAATTTCCCGCTTTGCTGTCTCGAATTGTCGTTCCCTTTCACGGAGATCCTACTGGTGATAGCTTGTCGTTAACAAAGTAGTTTGTCGATTATACTTTTTTTTTTTTTTTGTTTTTTTTCTTTTACACATACATAATATTCGTCTTTGTAGATTGAACTCGATGAAGTCGTAGACACAGATACATTGCTTCTCTTCGGAAGAGGATTAAGAGACAAACGGCGAGATCCGGGCGAGAAAAGGGGGTGAGGGGTGGGGGTGGGGAGATGGGTGATTTTAAGGTAGACGTTAGTCGTTCCAAGTAACACCTAGAATTTTTTTCAGGTACGCGCGTTATAGTCTTCGAATTCGAATCGATCGTCAATTTATTTCAATTATCTCGAACGCTTCGTTCGATGCTACGAAATGAACGCTATTGAATTAAACAAACGAACGTGACACGCGTTCGTGTTTATGATTTTTGTACGTCGAACGCCATCGTTTATAAATGTTTGGACACAAATACACTTGTGAGTTCACTTCGGAAGACGATAGTCGACGACGTGACTAAAAATTGAAAGACGACCGTCAGTTACGTGACCTCGAAAATGTAAATTACACGCAATACACACGACAGGAATAGGGAACTGAATTAAACGCTATGATCCGATTTGAACGTATAATTAGAAATTATCGATAGAAAGAATTGATTCTCGCGAGACGATGTTTTCAGTGAAATTAATATTCGCAATGTAAATTAACATTCGGTATAAGTAAATGAATTTCAACCAAGTAAAATAAATTCCAATTAGATCAATTATCGACACGAATGAACGTGGAATTCAAACGGCACACAGACAGATATTTACTTTTGACAGTTACGGCAATTCAACGAGCCACGACAACGTTCTTCCATCGCGCGTGTCGAAAATATCAATCTCCCAAACGAGAAATGGCACCAAGTGTCCAAGTAGTTACTAACGATAGCGTACGTAATTTCTCTAACAACGATTGTACAACTTAATTAACCTACGAGGGAATGTTAATTTCCTTCGTTCGAACGCAAAAAAAAAAAAAAAAAAAAAAAAAATGAACGGAAGCTTACTATTCATTCATTGGGGACCAATGATG